CCCATGGCCTCCCGTTGGCGAAGGGGACGTCGGGCGTGACGCAGTGGACCTCAGATCTCGGGCCAGGGCGCGGAGCCGGCGGTGAGACACCCTCAGAGGACACGAGGGGCTCGTCACATAGCGCGGCTCGGTAGAACGGGACGCGGGGGCTTGCAAATCAAGCGACAGATGGGCTGGAGTCCATCCAGCGGAGCTCGCGGCCGTGGCCGCCAGTGGGGGAGGGTGAGTCCATGCTCAAGCAAGAGTGGTCGGCGGGGCCGGAGTGGCCGCCATCAAGGGCGGTGGTTGCCGGGGCTGGAACGGCTGTCGACGAGGAGCGGGTGCGGCTGGCTGCTGAAGTTTTACAAACTAGATGATGCACCGCACGTTGGTGCGGGAATGAGGTTTTGATTATATATGAAACATGAATGTTTAAAATGATAGTTTTGGAACGAATGTAAGAATTAAATGTTAATAGCATAATAGAATGGAATTTTTCATGCATGCGTGTTTGCATGTTGAGGCAGATTTTTATTATGAATAATTGCATGTTTGGGCCTTTCCCATAAATGTTGGGGTTCGGCTCACCTGCGGGGCTCCCAGCAAGGATTATCGTGCAAGGCCAGTAAGGGAGTGCCACGTGTCTAAGTGGGCCCGTAGCTCTAATTAAGTTAAATTACTTTGTTTCTTCCTAGTTCCTGCTGCTTCGGTCCTTCATCAGTAGACGATGGGGGAGACGACGAAGGGGGAATGGGGATGCGTCGCCGCCAAACGCAAGACGATGAGACAAGGAGGCGTTCAAGCTTGACAAATACTTCAGGATCTCCGACGTCCTCCACAACAGGTTCTCGTTCTTGCGCGTGAAGCTGTGCTTCTCGCCGGATCAATGCTCGTCGTTTAATTGGATATTTGGACACACCACAGACGGATTAATCCTCAGATTGGCGACGTGCGACGGGATGCAGTGAGGAGAAGGCTAGAGCGGATCGGTTATTGCTCATCAGCCGGGACGCCGCTGGCCGCCTAGCCCGTGTACGGCCAGTCGAGGACGGCGTGGATGTCCGCGGCAACCGAGGAGAGTGCACATGATGCCGTCGACGAGCACGTCGTTGCAATTGTTGGCTTCGAGGTAGTATCCTATAGGAGTCTACTGAGACTGTGAGAAGGACTTCGATCATAGAGGGAGACTGAATCTCACCGCAGCGGGAGATTAACACGGCGGCGTCCCACTGGACAAGAAACTACGGCTTCCGATCTTGTCATTTGGAGTGCTTTGGCTCAATTAATTTGGCGAAAAGGTGTTAATATCAATATTTTAAATAACAGGCTATGCAAAATAGCGGCGGGTCTTCAAATCAGCTATAGCGAAGTTATAGCGGGCTATTTGTAAAGGCAGCCACTTAGCGGCACCCTGCTGAAAAGGCTATAGCGAACTATAGCCGGCTATTTAAAACTATAATTAATATGCATGATCTAGCAAGAAACAACGAGGAGCTGAGCTGCATGTGTCATACAACCGCGCACGGTATTCCTCTACCGGTGGTAGACGAGTCAGCAACATCGCCGGTGGATGAACAAGAACCTGTCCGCGGCTTCGTGATAGCATCCAGTCTCGTGTTTCCTTAGCGCAGAGGCCAGGTCAGGAAGGATCGAATCATCCAAGGAGCAAGTTTTTCAGACAAACACAAAATAAATCTAACTTAATTAGAGTTGCTGGCCCACTTGGACACAACGTGGCACTCTCTAACTGGCCCTGCACGATAATCCCTGTTGGGAGCCCCGCAGGTGAGCCGAACCCTGAATGTTGAATGATGAAGTGTCATATTTGCATATTGAGAAAAATATGTTAATGAAGCTAGCTATTTAGATATAAAAAATGGGTAAGCAGTCTACGCGAACTAGGACCGGAAGCCGCTAGCCAGGGGTCACTGCACCTATTATGGTGCAGGCTCAATGAGTGCGTGCCACGTATGAGTGTAGGCCCACACAATTAATTAATTAATTTTAATCCTCCTCTAATCCCTTTCGTTCTGAACTCTCCATGCTCTCTCCAATCTCGGGACGAACTCCTCCGGCTTCGTACAGCACACGGCAGCATATGCTCGCCAGGTTCCTAAACACGTTATATCACCCCCAGCCTTCACAAGTTCACAACTACAATGTGTTGTATATATTTTTATGGACATGCTCAAGGCATGCAGCACATGCCATCGACCTGAGCACAGAGCACACGCTCCTCGACGCTATTGATCAAATGATCTATCACGCTGCTTTCTCATGGCACCCAACTCCGGCTAGCCAGTAGTTTTGACTGTCATAGGTGCGGTGACCCCTGCACCTGATCTTTATTTGTTGCAATAAAATAAGATCCATCTTCCATAAAAGCGTGCATCAGCTTGCCTCACGTTCGTCCATGGTGTCAACTCCATGATTGATTCCCTAGTTTCATGATAGCTAATGCATGCATGTCGTCTATATCTGTACAGCTAGAACTAGAATTGGCCGTATCAGCCGGTGGATGCGCTATGCTCATCAGCAAGACAACAAGAAATATGTCTTCAAAGTTTGAATTGGACCTTAAGGTATGGTCAGCTGGCCCAAAATTCAAGAAATTTTAGGCTAGGACCGAATATTTACATGCGATCGACCAGAAGTAGGTTACTGCAAGAAATTATAGACAAAGCTTTCGATTGGTATACGGACTTAACTAACCAAAGTACTCCCTCTCTTCCGGTTTATAAGGTTTATCTTAAAGAATGTATTGCTCCTCATCACATATTCAGATTTTAATGTGCATTAAATCGTTGTATGCAAGGATTATGAGAAAACTCACCAATGTATGTATTTTTTTTGGTGATTTATTGGTCACGCCTGCATGCATTGCAACTAATGCGTTGGTAACCACAATTTGTTTAGAAAATTGAGTGCAGTACTTTTGCAAACTACAAAACTATACCACCACTCAATATCTACCTTGTTTGTTGAGATTTTTGAATTGGGCCCTATAAATCAGAAGTGAGGGAGTAATTATCAATGCCTGGATGGCCTTCTAGGAAGAGCAACTGCAAGAGATCTTACATTTGATTTGGATGCACTGGTTATGCTCCCTACTCAACTGCCGGAGCTAGACACCATATTTATTGAAGAAGAAGTTTGGGAAGTTATTAATGAGATATCTCCTAGTCGTTCCCCTGGCCCCTATGGATTTATGGGTGCCTTCTTCCACAAGGGGATATAATGATGACATTGCTAAAATTTTGTGTTGGCGATGAGAGAGGTTTTGTTGCTCTTAACAAGGCCTTGATCATGCTCATTCTGAAAAAAACTAGACACACCCATTGTTGGAGTTCCAACCCATAACCTTGTACACGACTTTCCAAAATTAGTTGCCGAGTTTCTTTCCAACTGTACCAGATCGCACACGGCTATGCGGCTGGTCATAGTGGGAGTAACATAGGTAGTAATATAGATGCCACATAAGCAAAATTGGTGATGTGGCAAGTAGTTAATGAGGAGAGAGGCAAATAGAGTAACATAATATGTTACCATCACATAGCGGTTTCCAATGCATAATGAGTCTACAAAGTAATAAATGAAGGCAACTATGTTACCACACCTATGACACTACCCACTATGAAGGTAGTAACATAGACTAGTAACATATGTATGTTACTAGTCTAAGTTACTCTCCACTATGACCAGCCTGCTAATTAGCGTGGACCAAACAACCTTTATCAAGCACAAGAGTTTGTATGGAACCACCCTTCTTGTTCTTCATAGGTGGCTAGGAGACATAATGACATAAAATGCAAAGGTGCAGTATTAAAATTGGATGTTTCTCATGTTGAAAGTATGGCCTAGAGACAAAAATAAAGTTATTATTATTCTATTTTCATTTTTAATTAATTTTATATCTTGGTGCTATAATTGCAATGGTTATTGAACATGAAATTCGGAGGAAAACTCAGTTGCATGTGGGAAAACATAAACACCGAACAGATCCCTAGTCAGGCCTATAGGACTAGCCCATATACTGTCGGTGATCCTGTTTTCCTAATCATTGGCAATGTCAATGTGACAAGGATGTCGACAATAATGAGAACACGATATTAGTAGAAGAGCAATGATATTGGAAGAGATAGCAGAAACACAACATAATTATTTAAGCCGGAAAGCAATAGCAGAAACACAACAGCACAACAAATGAAACTATTGGACGAGAGGAACGAAGTACTACTGCATGTCCTTAGTGCCTGCACCTGCATCGACGGGTTGGAACGATCATAGCTTGAGGGACAGGTCAATCGCCTCCTCCGCAAGCTCTTGGTCGCCTCTTCTTGCCCCGGACGAGGTTGCCCCCGAACCAGTACCCGTGCGCCGCGCCTGCTGACGATATCCTGCTCGCCAAGCGCGGGCGCCGGGGCGCGGCGGAGCGCTGTGGTGGTTCTCGATGGCGAGCTCTCCCGCCGCCGCTGAAGAGAGCGCCGTGGCCCGCCTGGCCAGCTTGTGAGCGTTCTGGTGGCCGCCGAGCGCCTGCGAGTTCTTGAAGCTGCGTGAGCAGTAGGAGCAGGCGAACACCAGCTGCGACCACGGCGGCGTGTACTGGCGCAGCGACAGGCTCAGATCGAGCCCCTCTTCCATCTCCATGCCCAGCCCTTGTCACAACACAACCGGGGCACTGCTCGAGTCACCCTGTAGTGGAACCTGGCGTAAGCGGCGTGGCAAGGCAGTCAATCACGCATGCAGGAAGCCGGATATATTGGCGCGGCCGGCGGTACTCCCACGGACAAGTTTCAGTATTCATCTCAGATTACTTTAGAGCCGGGTACGAATCGAAAGCGACGCTGCATGCTTGCGGCCGCTCAATGCTCTCGTGATCAGCGGCCACCCTACACATCTACTGCAGCATTATTACTGTCAACAGAGCCCACAGACATGGCCGAAAAGGCTTGGAATCATGGACCTTAATAGGGTACCTGGCCTACTTCCGTGTATTTGTACCTGGCCTACTTCCGTGGAATTTCGTGATTCCGAAAAGCTAACTACACATCTATACGTAGATTTGTCATGAGCTGCACATGCCTATTCGCGTATACTCACTTCATCCCAAAATAAATGTCTTAACCTTAGTACAAGTTTGTACGCCCTCCATTCTAAATATAAATGCTTTTAAAGATTTTAATACAAACTACATACGGATGTAATATAGACATACTTTAGAGTGGATTCACTCATTTTACTTCGTATGTAATCTATATTGTAATATATAAAAGGACTTATATTTAAGAACGAGGGAAGTATCACTAGTAGAAAACCAACATTTCATCCGGAGCACTAGTCCCGGCCGGGTTTGGGCCCGGGACTAATGTGAGCATTAGTCCCGGTTCCAACGGCTAGGAGCGGACGGGGGCACGGACAAGATTAGTCCCGGTTCAAATGGGACCTCTAGTCCCGATTGGAGATACCAACTGGGACTAAAGGGGTTGCGGCAGACTGGGGCCCCTGCGAGCACCTTTTGTCATGGTTGATATGACCAACCGGGACTAAAGATATCCCTATATAAAGATGCTTCGTCCAGCCCGAGTCCAAGCTCTCTCATTTCTCTCATCTTTGTTTCCTTCCCCTAGCTCAAGTTCATCCTCCATTTTCGCCAAGATTTGTCAAGATTAGAGGCACCCCATCTATCCAAGGTTCTAAAATGTTAGCAACTTCATCCTTTCATCTCTCATTACTAGTTTAGCTCGTTTCATGCTTTATAAGTATAGTGATTTGTGGGTTTTAGTTTGGGAGTAATTATGTGGGAGTTTATTTGATTTATATGCAATTTGAGCTCAAATTAACTTCTTAGTTTGCATATGTGTAGGTCTGGTTTAAGTGCCTTCCCGTCTCCGTCCTCACCGCCGTCGATCGCCCGCGCTGTCCCGTCACCGGCACCACCTTGGTGAGCCTCTTGTTCTTATCCTTTTTGTAAAAGAAAAATTTTATTTGTATGATTTAGATAGTTACTTGTACTTTTCTTGCTTGTATGATTGTTTGTTATTTAGTGCCATGGTTGTGATATCTGTCCCTCATAGGTCTCCAATGTATCTACTTTTTTAAACACTTTTGCCCTTGTTTTGGACTCTAACTTGCATGATTTGAATGGAACTAACCCGGACTGACGCTGTTTTCAGCAGAATTGCCATGGTGTTATTTTTGTGTAGAAATAAAAGTTCTCGAAATGACCTGAAAATCCACGGAGACACGTTTTGGAATTAATGAAAAATATTGGCGAAAGAATCAGCATCA